ATGGCATTCCAATTGGCACAACGAGTTACTTGGCTGTGGTATTGATTGATGTACAAAATCAAGCGTCAAATGCATTTTGCAATTCCTATTAATGTTTCAGTTTGAACTAGATTTCTTGAAATTACAAGGTTTTGGTGGTCAAGGGCCAGAAAGTGAACCATAGGTCTTAATGAAAATGTGGATATGTTGATTCTTGCTCTCTTGTTGTGCTTCCAGAGATTGAGGACTTGCCAGGATTATATTGATCGTGAGGGTCTCTCACAGCAGTCACTGGTCATAAATACTCCGAAATACCATAAAAGATACATATTGACAGGTAAATAGAAAATCTCTATTCTCATGTTTTTGATTTCCCTTTTCTGTCATCTCAATCGTAACTGTTTAACAACTACAAATTTTTTGTTCAGCTGCAGAGAGCATGAACGGTGTCAATCATTTAAAGTTGCATCAACAAAGATGTAGCCTGGATGATGAAGATGACTGGCATCAATTTAGGAATGGTAGTTTCTTGCTTACGATTCTGTTGGACTTGCTATTTTCTCTGTAACTTGTGTTGTTTGAGCAACTCTTCAGCACAACATAATTGTGTTTCAACAGCAGTTCGAGCGACAATTAGAGAAATCCCATCATCTGCAGTTAGGTAATAATCCTGTGGTTAATCGTGGTTCATCAACTTGAAACATCTAATTAACCAGATCATGCTTGCGGCAGGAATGGGCGTTCTCCATCACCTTCACCGCGACTTTCTCAGCAACCTGGAAACTTTTCATTCTCAGGCACTTTTCCTGGAAAGGAATCAGGTTCTCATAATCAACTCTCATCTATTTTCCTTGTTAATTTCTTATGTAAAATATTTTATCATTTGTTTTGGTTTCTTATAAGGACTGTTTTGGTGATCAGAAAAGCGAACAGTTTCACCGCATCGATTTCCCCTTTTACGCACTGGATCTCTTGCTAGTCGACAAACTACTCCAAAGAAATCTAGGCCAACAAGTCCAAATCCAACTCGACCAACCACTCCCAATCCTTCTATTGGAAGACAGGTATTTGATAGATCCTTTCTTTTGTTTCACTAGTTTCTTTCCTTTTAACCTAGAGCAAACTGTACTTCTTTGATCTCCTGTCCCAAACAAGAAGACAATAATATCAAGTGTAGTCAGAATTCTTAATTATTATTAGTTTGCTTTCATGTTTTCTGGTGTTTGTTATTGTTTAAATGCTTTTTGTCTCTACCAGTTCCCTGCAGAAGCTCGGAAATCAGCTTCAATGAGGTTCCATGCTGAAAGAGGGAGTCCCAAAGATCCCAGAGATACCGATCACAATTCTAGCAAAAGTAAACGCCTTCTCAAGGCATTGCTTAGCCGAAGAAAGTCAAAGAAAGACGACATGCTATATACTTACTTAGATGAATACTAATGCCACCCGACTGGCGGAAAGAATTCCTGCAAGGAAGATGTCACCCACCCGGCTCTATATATTTCCCTGCTACACCCGCCCATTTTGTAATGCTAGCTGTTCCCACTTCCCAGTATTCTTTCTCTCTTTTCAACCGTTTTAAGTTGCTTGAGCAGAAATATGTTGTGTCATAGATACCGTGATATCAGCAAGAGTTAAATCATATTATTACCTTTTCCCCTTTTTGTACCAGCAAGGATGCACCAAAGGGTATAAGCGGTCAATGGCTTATTTATTTTTATTAGAGAGAGAGAGAGAGAGAGAGAGAGTGAGAGAGAGAGGGAGGGGAAATAGGTGCAACGCTGTTGGTTTGATGAATATTGCGAGCAGCGTAGCGTAGACATGCTTATATTTGCGACTATGTAGGCAATACGAGATTTCATCTCTGCTAGGATAATAAGCAGTGGAAATGCAATTTCAAGTTAGCTAATTTTTGTCCTTGTTCAGCCAGTGCCCTTCAAAAGTACTACTAGTACTACTAAGTCCTCTACGGGGAATAGAAGCACAAGAAATGCACTTTCAAGCTAGTACGTTTTGTGCTTGCTCAGCGCTCCTAAACTACTAATTCCTCAGCCAGATAAAAATGCAACAAGAGCAATAAGGCCTATAAACAAACACTTGAAGCCGGAAGAAAAATTATAGGGGTCTCTTTAATATCTTCTTATAAACTTGCACAGAAATAACAGAAACTCTAATCCGATAGCCAAATGGGGTTTAACAAGAAACTCGCATCTGCTGCATTGTTTTAGTACACAAATTTAAACTACTTCACTTGATAATACAATTGATCCAAGTGGGCATAAATGTCAAACTTCCACTCCTTGATCGAATTCATCTATCGTTTTTGTGGCAAGAGTCAGCACATCAACAAATGCACTGAATGATGCCCGCAGAAATCTTGGCTCTACTGCCTCAAAATGCCTGTAGAAAATAAACTGAATCACGTTAAACCTACACACCTTGGTCATTTGGATAACAAGCTACAAGAAGCATTGGGGGTGTGCACTCAATTGATTCCAGCATCAACATAGATTGGCAGACATGTTCACAAGCATTTCAGAAGATATCTGAACCAAAGTCTTGATCAAAAGAATGGGAAGGAGCTCACACAAAAAGCTTTCCATCCGAGACTGACATTTCGCGCTTTACCTTGTCTGGCTGCAACTGTATGACCATTAACAGAGTCAAATCAAGTCAAATGTTAAACCATTTAACTGATGGGAAGAGTTAGACATCACCATACCTCCTTATCTACATCCAATGCTGAGTAGACAATGCGAACTTTTCTTTCAGATTCATAATTTACTTCCAAGTCACTGCATTTAACATTTTTCCACACAATCAAACAAGCAGCAAGTATCTGATGCATGCTCGTGCTGCTAATTACCATCCAGAGATCTAATCTCTGAATCCCATTCTGTTTTACTTGCCGTGATTCATTTTTATTATCACAATCAAGTAATTTTATCATAATGAATTCCAAAAATCCCCTGCCTAATTGCTAATACCCAATATTAAACAACTTTCTTTGATACACAGCAACTTAGTCAAACATAAACAAGATACTCCAAACCTGCAAGTAAATTTAGAATAAGTAACAGAAGGGATTGAGTTCCCTTCATTTCTTTTGCGATAGTCATGTATTACAAAATATTAGTCCCTGGTCTAAATCAGCCAAAATACGACAGAGGGGAATCTTCTCTTCGGAACAAGGAAAAAAAAAGGTTTTTGTGAAACTGGCGTCTCTCAAGAAACCAGAGTTGCAGGAATTGAGAAATAAGACATGCACAAGTAAACTGCGTAGGGTTGCAGTAAACACCTCCCAATCCACATCTCCGAATCAAAACAGAAACTATAATAAAAAAAATTTTACATTTGAATCAACGGAACCATAATAACGGGACGAGTTAGAAATTAGTTCCGCTGGAGTGCAGCATAGCACCTTCCCCAACCCAAGTACGAGCTGCAATGTGATGCAGTGATGTGGTATTATATGCCTAAACAAGAGAGCGATAGAAACAGATGGAGAAAGAGAGAGACTGACCAACTGAAATCCCATTTGGTTAGGACAGTATCTACTGTTGTTTCGTCGGAAGGTATAACGTCCATCTTTGTTCCTAGGGCAACTTGGTCTCCCTACTTCCGCCTCCGCACAGAAGCCGGCCAATGTTTTGTTGATTAAGTTCAAAAAAGAAAAAGGATAAATTACCTTTGACCCCTTTCTAGTTTGGTGTTTTATCACGTAAGCACGTAACCTTCTATAGTTTAAAAATCTATATATATATATATAACTCACTCGTAATTTAGATACTATCAATTGTAAAAAGTCAAAATTAAACTAATAAATTGACAAATTTTTACTTTGAATCCATCACGTGATCTACACATGCGCGATCATTTTTAGAGATTAAAAAAGGTTAGAGAAATGACTTTCACCACCCTCATAACTTCTGGTCAGATGCTAAAAATTATTGAGGATAGAGAGATGATTAAACTCTCAGGAATCTCATTCTAAGCAAAAATTGCCGGTTACATATGAGTAATCGGTTACTTAATGGAAAAAACACATGTTTCCTCTTTTCTCGGTAATATATGGAAAATTCTATCATCCCTTTGTATCGTATCCATGACTGTAATCTAATAAATTCTTGCCATATTATTGAATAATTTAAACTCTTAAAATCATTTAAGTGTTGATATCTCTCTATTAATACATTCAATAGTGAATTGAAACGTAACGATATCACATCCAAAAGGGTATCTCAGAACATTCCTAAAAGTTGATTTTGAGAAACTTTGGGATGATTCTTACCTTACCTTGCATGCATCTTTTGTTATTTGTTTTCGTAGATTAGCGTAGTTAATTTAAGCAAGTTTGCTTTTTTATTTTCCCCCGGTACAAAGACGATTTATAAGCAAAACTGGTAAAGTGGTTTCATTACTTTTTCGTTTTTCGTTTTGGCTTGCTTTTACAAGTTATCTGTCTTCCTATTTATATAAATCGAAAAAACTAGTCTTCTGGCTTTGGGGGAAAAAATAGCCGGCAACGCCCACCACAATAGTCAGTGATTATTGGAGAGAAAAGGAAAAATTTTAAAACAAAGTTCCTACCCCATAAATCTTGAAGGTAAAAGAAAAAATTAACCCAGATTAATTCGGATAACTAGGACTCGGCTAGGCAAAGTCAATTTGTCCGAAGGTTATAGATGTAGTGCAGTGCATTTATAGTACTAGTACTTAACAAATGAGACTGCAATTGTGCCGCCCATCCTCAAACTGGAAATGACTGGCGCAGGAAGTCAAAAGTGATTGATCTGATCTAATGGGGGCAATGGACAGCTTTGCTAGACGACTGTTTTGATTTTAGGAAAAACTGCTTGACAACAACAATGACGTGATTGAGAATATACACTGCTTTGGATAATGATGATGTTGCTTAGTGCATTTGGCTTTATTGATTGGATTGGATTCCCAGTCCACCAAGAAACTTTGGGCGGCGCGCCGGAGTAACAAACCAAAAAAGAAGGGGTGGTCTACGCGCATTAGTTTAGGTGTTGTAATGGGCTGCCTTGTTTGGATGCATTTTAGTGGTTAGCAATAGAGAATATTCTCGCGGTATATTTCTTGAAATGGCCCCGTGTGGACTTAAAGTGCTGCGGATCACACCATTATTCATACGTCTCTCCCCTATGGCTATGAAGAAGCCCTTTCTTTTTTTTCCTTTTTTTTTTCCCCCATTCCTGATGTTTGTTTACTCATCCAAGTCTCTAGCTTGAGGATCATTTGTGGCTTCTTCTTCGAGCATATTATGAGTTGGCGGATCTCGGTCAGTGACTGGGTGCTCAGGTGATCATACTTGAAAAGGTACGTCATGTCATGTTCGTGGCAAATTTTGTTTGGTCTTAAAGTGAATCAGGAGTCTTGGTATTTATCCCTTCTCTTCATGCCGGAGTCTAGGTCAACGAGCTCTTGAGTTGAGAGTCTTTTGAGAGCGAAGTGATGCTCGAGAATTCCATTCATGCTTGCTGCTCTGCTTAGGCTTAAATGTTCTAAGCATGTTCTTTCCAACCAATCAATACTCAATTTGATTGCCTGCGGTTTTGGAGACTGCGGAAGATGATCAGATGACGCTCGAGGCGCCAGACTAATCCGCACTGATGACCCGAGTCAAATTCATACCAGGTATCCTCTTCTTTTTTCCTGAAGAAAATATTAGTACTAGTTCGGGATTATGACGTTCTCCTAATGTTAAGATAGACACTGCGTCTAATTTGCTGCATCGTTCTGAACAACTTCTGTTGACCATTAAACTTGTGTGATGAATCGGATTTGTCCTCTAGATTAATTTCTTGAGAGAGATTCCATGAATAAGTTTAAAAAAAAAGAGTCTCCGAGCGTCTCTGTCTCCGTCCGTTAGATGTTCAAGTGCTCTTGATTGCATAGTTTGACCGACCATTGGGGAGGATTAGTGTTGAGAGAATCCAACGCTGTTTAATGGAATAATCTTTTCTTCAACTGATACGTGAACTCCCCTAACTGATACTGTGCGGAATTCTTTGAGTTTCATTGGTTTATAGACATGAGAAGATGAGGAATCACCAGTTTTGCATTAATATCAGGTGCACGGTAAAATGGAAATGCAGTTACAAGTCATTGATTGAGGTGTGACTAAAACAGGAGGGCAGAAAAAAATGCAAGGCATCCAGTTTATGATTGCCTTGCCATCTTTACAATTATCTCGCCTAAAAATTGGCTGTTTCATTTTTCTCTTCCCTGCTGCACTCCACGAACAATCATTGTTGGTACCCAGGCCGACTTTTTGTCTCCTTGTGATCTTCTTAGATTAACCAAGAAATAAGTTAGGCGAGTTTTGCTTGTTTTAGTGAAAAGCCGCGTTACCAGAAGCTCATAAATAATCAAATGCCCTGCAGATACATATATATATATATATATATATATATATATATATATTTTAAAGAGATCCGATTAGGCTTGTACATCTCCACCTACATATCAGCACCACAAAAGGTAATAGGAGAATTACCAGTAAACAAGCTTCTCACCTCTCTTAGCTATGTCAGGGCAGGTCCTACTTTGGCCGGTCTTAGACTTCTTGTAGATCTTCTCAGGTACTCCGCAACCAACACGAGGAGGCCAAAAAGGTACAAGAAGAAGGCATGAAGCTTTCCTACAAGGTCAACCATGAAACTCAAACTAGTTCCTCCCTCAGAGTTGATTCTCCCAAATTTTATCCACCCTGAAAAAGCGTCAGCACACAAGCACGAAACAATTTAATGGAATAGGCCACTTGACAACATTTAAACACCATCATTACAGCTATTGGCCCTTTATGAGACACCTAAACTTAGGCTCCAGCAAACCCCGTTTCAAGTTTCAACAGATTTACGTTTATTATATCCAAGCCAGCCTGGTTTCAAAATTGCAAAAATGTTATGCTGTCAATATTGCTATTTTGTACAACTCCATAGCGCAAGATGGCTACAATGCCAATATTCTATATCCATATTTAATCTTTGTCTGAATGGATCCTTTCTTAGTTTAGAGCAAGTCACTTAGTGTTGCATTATTCTTCTGATAACATGAAATACTCACCAGAGCTTTTCAGGGGCAAGTTTGTCCAATCATGCGTGCTTAATTTTTCTTCTGATGCCTTGAGCAATTCAAGAAGAGCTTTATTGACCTGGAGTTAATGATGAAGTTACTGATTCGAGCAAGAAATAGAAACTGATCATGTCACACACATCCAGTTCAGGAAAAAATAGAATTTTAGGAGGCCAACAGTCTAAAACGAAATACTGAGTAAACTTCCCAATAAGTAACAGAAAAAAAAAAAAAAGTGACTTGCACCAGTAATTCAATTCCGTGGAAGCATGGTTTTCTACTCACAATCTCAAAAGTGAAACAAGAAACTAAGCCTGTAACCAGCACTTCATACAATCAAAGTTCTGCATGAGAATGGAATTTTGAAACAATTTCTAGCTGCTTCACAGTGCCTCATCATTATTTTGACACACACACAGAGAACATTGTAACTCAGCCTTGTGACATTTTAATTCCAAATTATAAGACAATCATACAAGTTTTGTAGCTGATAGCACAATTATTAAACCCAGCAAGGAGCTCAACCCGGAGAGGTGATCGGGTCACCGGTTCAATCATGGGTGGAGCGGTTCAACTGCGGATTACACAATAGTTATATTATATAATATAATAATATATTTTAAATTATAAAAATAGTAAAATTTTTAAGTTAGTGGTTCAATTAGCAGTTTAATCGGTGATTTTTTTCAATTCACAGGTTGAATCGCCGGCTCGTTGACTAGTGATTTAACCGGGGGTTTGTTGCTTAACTGGTTTAATTAGCAACCCAGCCCAGTTCTATGGCCAGTTCGATCGCCGGGCCGGCCCAACCTATGGCTGATAGGTAGCTTAATGCCTTTAAGGACCAGGCAAGCTACTTTTTCCCCCCGGTTTGGTCAGTCAATTAAATGTCTTTCCCAATTTGGCTTCTTATAGTTCACAAAATTCATAACAATCTGCAGGTACTATGGATTTCAGAACAAGCCATCAGCCGGCTAATAACATCAGCAAGATCCAGGTAATGCAAGCACCACCAGTCAAGCTAAGCCAGAGTTTTTCCATGCTTATAATCTCATTTCAGTGCCTCAGTGTTTTTCATTTTATATTTCTCGTCTTCTTCTTCTCTCTTTCTCTCTCAATTTTAATTTTGGTCAGATTTGGCAGGGAAATATGGCACCTGGTTTCAAAACAAATTTTCAGCCTACTTTTTCCATTCTCAGCTACAAAAAAAAAATTTCTACCTCTTCAGTCCTCTCATGACTGACAAGATGTCCCCCATGAAGTTCTACCATTCGGGCAGAAGGATACAATTTCTCAGCAATCCTCTTTGCATGGCATAATTGAGCAATGACATCATGTCTGAACCATCAAAAGACTACTCAGTTTTGCTAAGTAGAGATCTTTCAGGTAAAATTGCAACTAACAGGTAAAGTTCTTGTGCCGTGAACAGTAATAATACCTTCCATGGATAACTGATACTAGGAATCCAGCTGCACGGATTGCTTCAAACTCTGCTAGCATCAGCTTATGCGTCCAGCATGCATTTATTTGACCTTCAAATCCATAATTGGTCTGCATGCCAGTAGATGATATACCTTTAACATATTCCTGCAAAATGGCCTCAAATAAGTCTGCCATTCTAACAGCTTTTACTCATATACTGTAATTTCACCTTTGTTAAGTAATGGCCACATATTATGGCATCAGTAACTCGAGAAAAGTGGATCATGCATAAAATTGCCACAAAGAGCCTAACATGTTAATGAGAAAATGACAGAAAACCAAAAATATTGTGATACATATACAATTACAAAACATTTGGATACGGCCAACTGCTTCATAGCCAATGATAGTTATTAATCCCAGGTTTGAGCGAGCAAAAAATGCAGGAGGATAACATCTTAGTAGTTTGCTGGTCAACTATATTATTCTGCACAAAAGTTGAAAAGGAATAGGTAGTAATTCCAACCTATTCCTTACCACCTTGAGGGAATCCACCAGCAAGAATGATTAGACCTTAAGACAATTTGAAATAAAGGACAAGTAAAATGGCAGACTGAGACTCTGGCAACTCTCTGTTGGTTGAAACAGATGCCCTATTTGGATTATCAAATATTGCTTGTGTAAAGGTTTGAAAATGATTTAAACCACAGGTAACAATCATGCACCATGAACAACACACTGGTTGATAATCACGCAATCGTTTACAGCAAGTCAACAAAAGCCATTGGTTGGTCGCAAAGCCTGCCAACTTGCTGAAGTTGTATCTTAAATGCACTGCAATACATCTTAAGCGTCATGCAAAAAAGGCAAGCTGGCTCACTGTTCCTTACTTGATATAGAATTGCTCTTCTGGTTTGCGTGCCAACATACTCTTCAAGATATTCCTGCATAGAGGTTACATTTCCTTAAATGTCAATCATCTCAGTGACACTATTTGATACCCTGGATTTCTAACATCAACAAAACCAAACAAGCCTTAAAAAATGTGCAGGAACTTTTTCATTGTACCATTCAGCTAAGTTGATAACCTAACAGGAGGCAAAGTCAAAAGTTGCAAAAGAAAAATTCATAGAATCATATACAAAGTTTCCTGCCCCAATTTTTATCTTAATTTCAACAACGAAAACTAGACCAGCAAAAAACCAGTCCACATTTGGCAGAAGTTTTCCGACTCACTGCTCAACTAGTCTAGCTAAACTTTCTTTCAAAACCAAGAAAAAATGAATACAAGAAAAATGTGCTAAAACAAAAACCATAAAACAGCAAAAGAAGGGTAACCTTTGAGTAGTGAGTGTCCAAATCAACAGCTGCCCTCTGCTGAGGAGTTTTTGCCCTCAAAAACCGGATTGCAATTGACAAGGTTTGACGATCTAGCTGCAAAATAGGGAAAGTTCTTATCAGTCAACATGGTTGTACTGCATATTAGAATCATAAATTGATGCTGGAAATCAAATACAGTGGCCACCAGAATCACTTGATCTCAAGCCAACCAAACAAACAAAAGTGTTCATCAATGGGAGACGGATATAATGATGGCCATAGCAACTATTTTGTAAACCTTTTGCACTTGACTGTTGGATAGAAAGAAGAGAAATGCAGAGCTTATAACCCGTCCCCCCCCCCCCGGGGGGTAAACTTGCTGAGAGAGAGAGAGAGAGATTATGTTCAAAACAGTTTCAGAGGGGAATTACTTTTGTTTCAACGATTTAAAGGAGGTGTCCAGAAACAATCTAAGATTGCATTTTTCATTGTACAGATTGGAACAAGATAAGAAACCGCCATAATGGTTACACATCATTGAACCAGATTGCAGGGTTAAAGAATATTTGTCATTTGCTCAGAAAGGATACGTACCTTTGGAATGCATTCATAACCTCCACCCGTCACATTTAGTAAAGCCAGTGATAATACCCTGCCAGGGACCATAGCAGCCATTTTGCAAGCAATCATACCTCCTACATATATCCCAGCTTCACTCAGTCATGCGAACTCATATGCCACTTAGAGCAGAACTGAATCCTAACACTAGTACCTAGTTCCATAGGAGTATTTCCCAGTGAAGTGAACCACATCATTAAAACAATGAACAATCGAAATCATGACAAGCTCAGTTGAAGTGCATGTCTGACATTACTTAAAATATACCTCCAGGTTATCAACAACTATGTTTTCAAGAAGAACTGTTGTGTTTGGTGGCCTGCATTTCCTCTTTCAATTTTGAAATTTGGTATCAAACTGAAAATCGACCCTATTATTCCACACCAAATCTTATCCTTGCAATAACTATATTTCTGTTTTGTAAGCAATCCTTCCAATAAGTTGATTAACCTATCTTAAAATCACAACTGACATTAAGGGGCTCAGGGAAAACCAAAAATGAAACAAATCAATAAAACGACTGAGTAATGTTGTCACTCATGGACTCACCCATTGAATGTCCAAATACATGGGCCTTTTCCCAACCCAAAAAATCCATTATAGCGACCGCATCTTTTGCCATAAGAGTCGTTCTGCACAATAACCATTCCACAATACTATCAGTTTCAGAATATATCCGCACCCTCTTCGACACAGCTGAAGTAAAAGAATTAAAACCTAAAACCCTGTATATTCGGAGTTCCAACGCGTCAAGGTCCACTTTTTTACTAACCTCAGCAGCTCATTTAGGAGGAAAAATGAAAACCATCTGCAGAAAGCTTTCATTTTTCTATTTCACAAAAAGAGGGAAAGAGGAACAGGAGAAACTTAAATGGTTTGCCGCTTTGCCTATATCATTTTTCTCAGAACCCCAAAAAAAAAAAGGAAAAAAAAAAAAGACAGCAGAAAGGAAGAATTTCTAGCATGGAACGGATGATCATCACAAAAATACACCATTTACATCTTCGACGGCCATTAAAACCAAAATCCATCACAAGTCTATGTCTTTACCAGAATCTCAGAGAGTCAAGAAACTAACAATCAATTAATCAACCCACGATATCTATGGGGGTTGTGATGCTAAAAAAGATTGGAGTTTTGGAACAAGGAGTTTTGAGGACTCACGTGTAAGCTGACTTTTTGGTGGGCACGGAGCTGCGACCCATTCCACGATTATCAAAGGCACAAACCTCCACTCCAAGGCTCTCATTGTGACTAGCGATAGGGGTTTGATCGCCGGCCGGCGATTCCTCATCATTGGGCGTCAAGGTACCGGCGAGCGTCCTGATTTGCCGTTCCCATGAAGTGTGAGTCCCCGCCAATCCTAATAATCAAAGCGAAAAATCATCATCGACCCACAATAATTATATATGTTAACACTTTAATATCTTCCATCTTTTGTTGTTTTGAATTTTTACCGATGATCATGAGGACTTTAGTTGGACCTCGCCCGTAAGTTCTGTAGAAAATCTTAATTCCATTATCCCCAGGGGCAGCTTCTGAACCGTTCTGGAACGAGCTGACCTCGCAGAATGGCATGTTGGGTCGAATTTAACAGAGAGAAAAGAGAGAGATAGCAGACGAGGAGGAGGAGGAGGAGATGCGGACGTGGAGGAGGGAATGTTTATTTTCCAGGAAACAACACCACATAACGAGGAGGAATGCTATTTTTTTTTTCTTTTATAAGTACCATCACTAACTAATACAGCTAAAAATAAAAAATAGAAAAGATTATGTGTTGTTTTCTCCGATGCTGCTGTTTGTTTTCGTTTTCGTTTTCGTTTTCTTTTTTTGGTTGTATTTTATCTGGTTTTGGTTAGTAGACTAGTACTTGTTTTATGATGGTGGGACCTGAGACGCGTGGCAGATAAGGAGTGATTTAGTGGGAGATTAGGAATACGATGGTGGTCGGCTGCGCGTGGAGTCCAGGTCAAAGTCAAAAAATGTTAGTACTATGACTTTTTTTTTTTTTCTTTGTCAAAAAATAACGTTAGTTAGCACTTAGCACTTAGCAGATCCAAAATCCAATTCAACGTTAATGGCAATGGGGCAGCGACAGCCAGGAGCGATTCGAGCGAATCGAGGGAGAAAGGGTCTTCCACTCTTCCTTAGATTTTTTGTTGTTAGTAGCAGGTGTTTGACTTTCTTTTCCTAGAGTTACTTCAATTCATCCCCTCTATTCTGTACCCTTATTCTATGCTCCGAGGTTCGGGGTAAAAAGAAAAGAGAAAAGTCAATCAATCTAACTAAATACTCTTTGCCTTCCTCTTTATACGAGAATTGTTCTAAATCTATACGCTTTCCATCTGATCTGATAATGGTTCAATTTCCGTCAGGTTTCCTCCCATCTGGTTTGATGGTGGTTTAGTCCCCGTCAAATTCTCTCGACTCAGTTGAACCACTCCTTTAAAATAAGCACTCATCTGGTCTGATGGTGGTTCAGTCCCCATCAGGTCCCCTTCCATCTGGTCTGATGGTAATTTAGTTCTCGTTATGTTCTCTCTGACTTAGTTGGATCACTTCTCTAGAGTAGGCTATAGGAGTAAATTAGACTAAACTAAATGTGCCGTTAAAGACAAAAAAAAAAAAAGAAGAAAAACTAAATACTCCTTGCATCCCAATTAAGTTGTTATGTTTCAAAAATTCAACTTTTAAAAATAGTGATTTGATTATGATGTTTGTATTTCTCTTTCAATGTTACCCCCAACAAATTCAAAATTTGAATATCAATGGTAACACACATGCACATGATGAAGAGAGGGGCTATATCAAAATGAGAGACTAAAAAATATTTAATTTTCTCAACATAACGAACATTTTAGAATATCTCAAAATAAATTATATGACACTTCCAATGAAATAAAGTTGGACCATTTAAGAAAGCATTCAACACGAGTGAGAGTACCCACTAAATGAACGAGGAGTCATTACCACACCGGTAATTGTCTCTAGTTGTTAATGACTACACTAGACGACTATGACTCGGGTAAAGGGATTTGTTTGAGCAGCGTGATTGCCGGGGCCGGCCACGGAGGAGAGTTCAAGCCCGAACTTCACACTACCATGTCGCCCAGATTATATTCAACTTCTTGATTGGATGTTTACATTAGTAGCAACAAGTTACCAATGAAAAAACATGTACCCCACTAACAGAAAAACGCGGTAGGTAAATGGGATATGGAAACTGGCTCGTGTAAAACGTTTAGAAAAAATGGGTGGGAATAGAGATGCGAACGGGGAAGATGATGACTGGGCCATTATTTATCACATATATCTATATGATATGATGCCGAAGGATGAAATGCTGAAAATTTTTTTTTTTTTCCTTTGGAGCCAGCCACGCGCATGCGCATGCGCGTTCATTCATTTATGATTATTAACGGAATGACTGCGCGCCTCTAAAATACTGCCATTTGGCAGCGAATGTTGACAACGACAGAAATGCAGAGAGACATGTGTACTGTTTACCCAAATCCATTTGATTAGCTCTTTCCAAATTCCTCGACAAGTGTTTGGACTGGACGCTACCGATGACAATTGTTTACACTTACACATACTTGTTTTTTTTTTTTTGTAATCCCCTTAAAATCTAAATCCAGTAAATTGTTCCTCACAATTGATAACGTAACCCAAAAAAAAAAAAGAAAAAAATTTATTTGTTAGCAGGTACAATTTAAGAGCTACAAAGAATGACATACTACCAGCAGGTAACAAATGAATTGGTCAACAAGTCCCCGCGTGGCATTTTTGAAGACCAACGACCTCGGTCTCTAAAATGCAAACTTTGACTTTTGAACATTGGCCTATTCCTGTTTCAACACAAGGGAGCTGCAGAAGTACAAGCCAACCCAACAATCTTTTTAACTTGAATTACCCTAAAATATTAAATTAAGAGCTCATTCTACCAACTAGTTACCCGCTTCAATCTCTCCCTATAATTAAGATCAACCAAATTTCTACACGGAGCAGCTGCTACAGATGACACATTTTTGAAAGGAAACAAACCTGACATACCATTTCCGGAAACCTACTCAATTTACCAATCAGATCATTAGATTTTATACGGACCTGCTGTGGATGACGCGGTGAAAAGTACTCGAACCAGCCATCGTGTGCCAGGCGAACCAGCAGGACGCAAAAGGATGGATCCCATTGAGGAGAATCCTGTGGATCAGAGCCTATTAGCAGTAACAATATCGATGCAGAATTACTCGAGTTCAATTCTCATCCATGTTGAACTCCAAAACACCACTAGACAATTCTCATCTATGTGGGCTGTAGCAATGGCACTGCTAAGAGCAAAGTCAACCAATGCCGCTCGCTTACCACCAATGAGACTTAGTCGTGTGTCGTAGTGTTCCATGCTTCTAGATCGCAATTGCCACCCTAAATGTCCGGTTCCTATTTTTGTCCAGTTCCTGTAACAGGTATAATGCAACACAAAAGCCAAGTAAATGAAGTGGCATACTTAGAAAGCAATCAAGTATGATCAAATGAAAAACAAGAAACGCTTGAAACGTTCTGTTGTGTTGTTTCTTTGCTTCGTGCAAATACTTGTCGATGCCTAATTTGGATACTTTACAATTACCCATCATATCCTCACATTGGCTTAATTTGGAAAGCAGAAGGATGAGCAAATCCACTAAATCCCTCTGTTACAGGACATTTCAGAAAAGAGGAAGCCATAGAACTTTAAGAACAAGAAAAGAATATACATGAATGTGTGCGCGTGTCTGTGTATTAAGCCGTCTGTTACTAAATGATGGCGAGTCAAACAGAGTCTGTAATGAATACATTCATGTGTCCTCCAAAAAATGGGGAATAGTTATCCAAACAAAAGTAGTTTGAAATAAAAAAAATTGTGCAACAATCAAAATGAGCACAAAGTTGATTTTCTAAAATTTGGTACCTTGATTCATTCTCTTCAGTGGAAATGCCATATATGAGCAGCTTCACAACCTCCAGTGGAGGGAAGTAGGCAGGGAAAGTAGGAAATTTGACCAAAGATAACACATGTTACCACTAAACCATTTCTTTTAATTTCTTTCTCAGTCTAGACAATCTTCTCTGCAGAGGCAACTTCTCAGATCTCATTTCCAATTTGTCCAAATAATATATTACTTTTTTCAATGTCTCCACAACCTCTTTACTATCATTGCCAAGAGCTAACTCTTGAATTTTCAAGATCCTTTGTAGCCGCTTGAGTATTTCTTTATCATCCCTCCCCAATCGGGTTTGAATGGAGACCACACAGTCAAGAGCCTCCCCTGCAATGTAGGTAAAAAAAAGATCAAAATATGAAAAGAAGTTGGTTAATCAATGCAAAGAGCAGAAATGGAGATTTTATTGTCAGTCTGTGGTGGGAAAAAACTAGGAGCCAATCAAGAACTATATGCTCCAAATCCTTCTAGGATATAAGCTGGTCAAGCACAAAAGAAGGTTGCTACTACAATCTCTACAGGAATGAAGTACCTACAAAAGTATATACAACATACTTCAGCATAAAATGGGTAGGCAAAGCTCACCAACTGGTAGGGATTCTTCTCCAAATGCTTTTTCACGGATAAGTAAAGCGTTTAAGGCAAAATTTTCAGCTTCTTCATCTCGATTCAGATTATACAGTACAACTGCCAGATGCAACATCGGAAAGGTGATGGACTGATCATCTGGAGGTACTGTCTTCATCATGATCTGCAGACTTTTTCTGAGCAAGCGTTCAGCCTCAGCAAAATTTTTGAACTGTGAATAGGAAGCAGCAAGGTTCATTAGATGGATGACACAGCTCGGATGGTCTTTCCCTTGATATTTCTCAGTGATCAACAAGCACTCCTCCAGAAGGACCCTGCCTTCTTCTCCTCTGAAAATGTAATGACGCATTTCAATGATAGACAGTCAAAACCAATTTGAAAGTCATAAATTTAATAGAAAAGCTTTCTTCCACAAGGTTTAGCCTATTAAACGCAGTATATCACCCCAGATGTGAAGTAGAACAATCTGAAGTGCATTACAACTTGAGTATTTATAATTAAAAGATGACCCTTCAAACATGATATTCATCAAAAGGCATTGATAATCTAGCACAAAGTTAGTTAGTTAACAAAGAAAGTTGCATATAATTAGCTAATTATTTACCTTCCGACTGCATGAAGTAATTCTGCCACATCTATTCTCATCTTCTCCATCAGCTCATCATCTAATGCTATGGACTTTGAATGCTTCAGAACTTGAAAAGCATCCTTATATAGATTGATGGCTTCATGTACATCACCTGTGATGAGTACGATTGAATCCAACATGTTTAGGAAGTACAAAGAAGTCCATGACATGGTAACACTTCTCAATAGATAAAAATTGGATGCAACTGTGATCTTAAATGGTACGAGAGGAGGCGCACAATGGACATAAAATCGAGATATCTGAGTATTTTGTTGTATAGAGAAATCTGTAAAAGCTTACCTGTTGCACATTTTACATGTGCCAGGGAACACATAGCCATTCCTACTCTTCCATCTTTTTCTCCATATAACTTGATATACTGGTCTAAAATTCTGCACAATGACAGAAAAAGCCAAGAGAGCGTGAATAATCAAAACCAAAACCTCATGCAATTAAAGCATATTAGCTGGAGATATGTAACCTCTTGAAAACATTTTCGGCTTCAGATGATCTTCCTTCCTTTGATAAAAGATTGCCCAGTGAAGTCAAAGGCAACAGCAATTCCTCACATACAAGGCCCCTTCCAGATTCCAATATCTTAATCACCAGGTGATATGTCTCTATTGACTCCGTGGCTCTTCCAGTAGAACCCAGAACTTTTGCAATGCCTAACATCGGAGTGACAAGGAAAGTACTACTATTTCCTGCAAAAAGAAAATTTTCATAAAATATCAATGCTTGCAGAGAAGTGGAGGCAAAGCTACCATGGCAGATGACTAAACTAGAATGTAAAAGTCTATGTCCCTATGAAACAACAGATGCGCCTTCCACTTATTGCTCCTAATAACCAGACAAGTAAAAAGCAAAACTTCAGTGGAACTGTCGAGAAAATTGAGGCGAGGCTGCAAATATAGTAGCATCTAAGGATAGGCATCAATTAGTCACTCCAGCTGTAACTATCTCACCATCACCTGTCAGAATGCAGCATACAAAAGAACAAACTTACCATATTTTTTTTCCATAATTCTAAGGGCCCTCCTGTACTGATAAATGGCCATTTCAAACTTTTTCACCTTCTCATACATGTTTCCCATGTGTAAAAGTATCGAATCCAGAAGAGGCTCAT